CTACTACTACTACTACTACTAAAACTACTACTACTACTATTGCTACTACTACTACTACTACTACTACTACTACTACTACTACTTCTTCTACTACTACTACTAGTAATACTACTACTACGACTACTACTACGACTACGACTACTACTACTACTACTACTACTACTACTACGGCTACTACAACGACTACGGGTACGACCAATACTACTACAGCCATATTCTTCTCAATGTTACCAACTCTTACGGCTACGACTACTACCTTCCATCCCCCCGCGGAAACATGTTTTATCTCCAGGGCTTACTATCGCCGGAAAATGCCTGAGACGAGCCCCCCCACACGAGAACTTCAACACCTTTCTAAATCGATAAATTTTCCAACCGGACTTTGATAGGTTTACAACTTTGTTTTTTTCGAAATGCCTCCGCCCCTCCTCCTCCTCCCTCACTGCTCCCTCCTCCTGCCCTCCTGCCCTATTTCAGCAACTATTACTACTCGTACTTCTACTTCTACTACGACTACTAATACTATCCCTGCTACTTCTACTTCTACTTCTACTACGGCTATTACTCGTACTCCTAGTACTTCTGCGATCACCACTACTATGAGTATTACCACTACTAATATTAGTACTGCTGCTACTGGTAGTAGCAGTAGTAGTAGTAGTAGTAGTAGTACTAGTAGTAGTAGTAGTAGTAGTAGTAGTAGTAGTCGTAGTAGTAGTAGTAGTAGTAGTAGTAGTAGTAGTAGTAGTAGTAGTTTGTAGTAGTAGTAGTAGTAATCGTGGTAGTAGTAGTAGTAGTAGTAGTAGTAGGTGGTGGTGGTGGTGGTAGTAGTAGTAGTAGTAGTAGTAGTAGTAATACTACGACTACTACTACTACTACTACTACTACTACTACTACTACTACTACTAATACTACGACTTCTACTTCTACTACTAACCGCATGCCCGTGAGAATAAACACTAGGGGATAATAAAGTTCGGGGTTCAGGGAGAGATAATAAAAGTAGCCCAGCAGACCTCAGCATAATCTCGAAGTAAGAGATGATCAAGAGGAGACCAAACCGAGCACGTTTTGAGACATCCTTGGCGTTTAGTTTGCATAGAAATATCCTCAACAATGGCTTATCTCTCATGAAAATTGTTTTTTTTGTAAGTGCTCGTGTAGGGTAGCTCATGTGCCTCAATTTCCATGGATGATCAACCCCAGAGATAAAAAAAAGTTCAGGCGAGCGTGGGGACAGAGAGAAATATCAAAGAAGAAGAATACAGTATAATAGTAAAAATAAGAAAGAAGAAGAAGAGGAGAATAAGAAGAGGACGAAGAAAGGAAAAATTCAAAGTTCCAAATCTATCAATTTTAATTTACAAACGCTCTATGAACATTGATTTATTTAAGTGCTCGTGTAGGGTAGCTCATGTGCTTCATTTTCCATGGATAATTAACCCCAGGGATAAAAAAAAATCAGGCGAGCGTGAGGACATATAGATATATAAAAGAAGAAGGGGAAATTATAATAATAATAAGAACATTGCTCGTTTCGTTTGAGTCTGCCTCCCAAAATTATTGGTTTCGCTTGACACATCCTGAAAAAGTGTGATCGCTTCGCTTGATGTTGCTATATCAACATCGCTTGATGTTGCTATCTCAACATAGCGTTTCGAGGTGATAACGTCATGCCCGTGAGAATAAACACTAGGGGATAATAAGGTTCGGGGTTCAGGGAGAGATAATAAAAGTATCCCAGCAGACCTCAGCATAATCTCGAAGTAAGAGATGATCAAGAGGAGACCAAGCCGAGCACGTTTTGAGACATCCTTGGCGTTTAGTCGTCATAGAAATATCCTCAACAATGGCTTATCTCTCATGAAAATTGTTTGTTTGTAAGTGCTCGTGTAGGGTAGCTCATGTGCCTCAATTTCCATGGATAATCAACCCCAGAGATAAAAAAAAAGTTCAGGCGAGCGTGGGGACAGAGAGAAATATAAAAGAAGAATACAGTATAATAATAATAAGAAAGAAGAAGAAGAGGAGAATAAGAAGAGGACGAAGAAAGGAAAAATCCAAAGTTCCAAATCTATCAATTTTAATTTACAAGCGCTCTATGAAAATTGATGTATTTAAGTGCTCGTGTAGGGTAGCTCATGCGCTTCATTTTCCATGGATAATTAACCCCAGGGATAAAAAAAGTTCAGGCGAGCGTGAGGACATATAGAAATATAAAAGAAGAAGAGGAAAGTATAATACTAATAAGAACATTGCTCGTTTCGTTTGAGTCTGCCTCCCAAAATTATTGGTTTCGCTTGACACATCCTGAAAAAGTGTGATCGCTTCGCTTGATGTTGCTATATCAACATCGTTTGATGTTGCTATCTCAACATAGCGTTTCGAGGTGATAATGGAGTTCGGCCTCAGCGTTCGCCGCCCAATTTGAATTTTGTATAGGGCGACGATAATCAACTCTGAACACTGAAGGGGGGGGTCCCTTTATTATCATCGGCATGCGGTTAATGAGGTTCGGCCTCAGCGCTCGCCGCCCAATTTGATTTTTGTATAGGGCGACCATAATCAACTCTAAACACTGAAGGGGGGGGTCCCTTTATTATGATCGGCGTGCGGTTACTGCTACTACTACTATTACTACTACTACTACTACTACTACTACTACTACTACTACTACTACTACTACTCTTACTCTTACTACTACTACTACTACTACTACTACTACTACTACTACTACTACTACTACTACTTCTACTACCACTACTACTACTACTACTACTACTACTACTACTACTACTACTACTACTACTACTACTACGACTACTGCTACGACGACTACTACTACTACTACTACTACTACTACGATCACTAGTTCTACTACTCGTACCACCACTACTACAGCTACGACTAATGTTAGTACTACTGCTACTATTACTGCTTCTACTACTACTACTACTACTACTACTACTGCTCCTCCCACCCCTTCCCACTCTCCCTCATCTCATCATCATCACCATCACCAGCATCATCACCATCATCAGCATCATCTGCGACCTGCCGGGAAAAATACGATCCTACATGGACCCCGGACTTGATGATCCCCACCCTGTGAATCTCAGGGCCATAGGGTTACCTTTCAACTCCCACTGGCTCTCTGGGCGCAGGTGGCTTAACAGAGCAGCTCTTCCAACACAGCCCACTTTGGAAAGACGATTCTGAATGTCCCCCATTCGTGTACACACATCCTCCTCCATCTGACCGAGGGCAATCCAGAACCAAACACCAGACCACCATCCCTGTCAAGAAGCAATCAGTGTTGAACTTGGCGGCACATTCGGGATCATGTGCGGGCGCTAATGGGTTCCTTCTCATTGCTTCTCGAAAGGGGCGGGGGAGGGCGGCGTATTGCCTGCTGCGCGCAGGCACATCACACCTGTCAAGAACAATACGAAATACAAATTGCGGGAAAAATCTTGATTATACCGCATGGTCCAGATTTTGCCGGAATTCGTATTTCGGCCGCGCATGATTCATGCGCGGACACTCCGTGACCACTTTTCAATACTATCTGACACTTTGCAATACTATCTGACACGGGTGGTGGGGTCTCCTGGCACGCGCGGCGCACCCCGCGGACGTCGCGCATCTGGGTGGCGTCTGCGTTGGTTTCCGATGATTGTCGCTGGCAGACCCTGCCCATGCTGAGGCGCGGGTGCCAATCATGTGGTGGAGGCCGGGTGGGAGTGAGCGAGACGGCCGTCCTTCGGGGGATTGGCTTGACCCTCCCCTTACCCTGCCCATGAGGTCTGGACGGAGGGGGTCGCGAGCTTCGGAGGGCTCGATACCCGAGACGGCTCCAACTTTGCAAGGTGGCACCAGTCAGCCAGGATGACTTGCAAGAGCGCACAAGATGGCTCAACTTGGCTTCCAGCATGGCTCGAAAAGACCCCAGCCGCAAGAACGGCTCGAGGTGGCATCGGAGCCTGCCACAGATTTCTCGGGGAGGCTATGCGTTGTTGTTTTGTGACTTCTCGCACGGTTGCTTCTGATTGGCTTCCGATGCTAAACCCCAAATGGCCCGAAGGGGGCCCCAAGAAGCGCCCCGCCAGGCCACAGCATTGCATGGCCACAAATGGCCAACTGGCATCCCGAGCAATTCCGACCAGGGTTCCACTAAACGATCTTCTGGTGGCTCCCCCCAAAGGAACCTAATGTTACTGGTACATGTTTTTCTTATCCACTGCTTACAGGATGGCCCCAAGAGAACCCGACATGCTCCAAAAGGCCGCAGGCCTCTAGTTGGCCTCCAATTGGCTCCCATAAGCACTCGAGCTGGCAAGTCTAGAAGACTACTTTGGCAATACCCCACTGCGGTTTGACTGGGGTCCCCCTCCGCACTTCACGAATGCTCCCCCGCTCCGAATCCCACGGCAACTCGCCTGGGGATCGTTTCTCGATAGGCTGGTGGGCAGACGCGAACTGTCAGTACGGCGGGCCCCTGGGGTGCGAGCAAGAGCGGCCTAGGCCATGCTAACCAGCTGGAGAAAGAAACACCTGCAACATTGGAAAGAAACGGTAAGGAACGGAAAGGGGGGCTACGCATGTTCCTACCAGATTATCCCTGGACTGTCCGGGGTCCTCCCTCCTGCTGGTCGTCGTGGGTCCAAGTGATTCCTCGGAGCTCCACGAGATGGCGCCAAGACGTCTCCAGATGGCTCCGACAGGTCTCACTAGCCCGAAGTTCAGCGGCGAGCGAAAGGGGGATTGAGAAGGAGAAGGCCTTCTCAGAAGGTGGCAGGACTTCTCAGAAACCCTCCGGCATTCTACCAGGTCTTCCGTGGCTCCGGGGAAGGCTTAGAGCACCTCTCAGAGGGCCGGGGGGGGCTTCCGAGCCTTCCGTGAAGGCCCCTCCTTCTCGCTTCCCCCGCCCCCGCTCGCCGCCGATCGCTGGCCCGAAGACGAGGCGCCGTCTGCAGACCACCAGGACGGACAAGAGGCTCTCAAGATGTCGCCAGATGGCCGCAAGAGCCCCACCAGGCACGCTGCGCGCCCGCGCGCGCGTCGGCTCATTGGGTTGGCGCGCGCGCGAATGGTGGCTCGAGCGCGCCCCAGAACAAGGACGACGCTGGGCCTTCCTTATCAGCTATCGATGGGGAGGGATCGGTGGGCCGAGGATGGCCAGAAGCTCCTTGCTCCTGGCTCGCCGCGGCCAAGCTGCTGAAATGGCTGCATGAGTTTGGCATGCTCGGCTTTTCGGTCTTCAGGGTGCTCATGGCGTTCCAGGGAGTCCCCCTCAAGAAGGCCTACAGGACACCCTAGAGGGCCCCAAAGGCCTCATGACGGCCCAAGAGGGCCCCAATACGCCCCGAAGGGGCATGGAAAGGGGTTCCGGACGGCTACAGAGAGCCTCAAGAAAGCCCAAGGGGGGCCCAAGACGGTCCCATGAGGTTTCCAAGATGGCCAAGACGGGCCCAAGACGGGCCCAAGATGGCCGCAAGACGGCACGAGAGTATCCGATAACGGCTCGATGAGGTATCAAGTGGATCTCAAGAGGACCACACGAAGCTCTTCAAATCCAGAAACGATTGAATATCTGCTGACTTGAATGCGATGTTGTCGTCTTCGCATCTTCGGTATTCATAGCGCCCCAGGGCTCCCAAGACGCGGCCAGAGTACACCAAGCGCACCCCAGGACGCTCCAAGAGGCACCACAGTACTGATGCTCCTTTGCTTGTTGTTCGACATTCGCATGCTGGCCTTGTCGGCCTTCAAAGAGCTGCCACATTTGCGTGCAGGTTTCCCGGTGGTGGGGGGGTCACAGTGACTCCAGCTACCTCCTCTGCGAGCTTATCAGCTGCATGTTCTCGCTGTCTCCCTCTCCATCTCTCTGTTTTTGTCCCTGTCTCTCTCTCTCTCTCCATCTCTCTCTCTCACTCTATCTCGTGCTCTTCATTTCTATATTTTTTTGTTCTACCTCTCTCTCTCTCTCTGGACACATGCTGTCCTTAGGTTCCCGCCGGGCCGTACCCCCCACCCGCGGAGTCAACACAGCTGGGCCCCTGCGATCTGGGGACCCCGCCGCTCCGTCCAGCGGCCGCACGCGTTTCCAAAGCAGCGCCACTGCAGCACTGCAGCAGCTCCCAGAAGCGATCCCGACGGAGTTCTCAAGCCGCGTTCGTTCGTGGGTTCGAGAATGGCCCCAAGTAGGGGATCGAACTCTATACACCGACGCTTCTTCTGGCCCTGCATTGAACTTTGCACTGGAGGGCGGATCCTGGTGTATACGGGACCCTGGTGTATACATTGTTCGCTGTTTCCCGGGACATTGGGTAAAACAAATATACACCACACCACCCCAGCGTCGTCCCCGACCCTCGAAAACAGCCCGCCACTGGTAATGTAGATGTTCCAGTTTCCGACCAAGGGCCAAACCACATAAATATGCCCGCCCCCTCGCTTGGCATGAGGGCGTGTGAGACAGCCCCGGAAAAAAATGCAAGCCCTTCATGGAGCGATGTTCTTGGGGGAGGGTTGCGTGACCCTGGTCGCATTGAGCGGGCTGCCTCTGTGCGAGGACTTGCAGGTCTCTGGGGTGACCTGTCGCCAGGAACGGACCGCTCGACTGGACGGTCGCACTGCAGCGCCATCTGTGAAGGCTTCTGCGGGTTCTCGTCGAGTGACCCTGATCGCCAGGAGTGGCCAGCATTCGTGGCCAGAGGGGGTTCCCTTGCGCAGGAGGCTCCTGTCCAGTGCAGGGACAAAGGAAAGGGAACTATGCACATACACCGATTCTGGCCTGGCCCATCCTGAGCCCAGGATCGGTGCATACGCCCTCCTGCCTTGGCCAGGAAAGCATATGCACCGATCCTGGGCCCAGGAGGGGCCTGGCCAGAATCGGTGTATGTGCAAAGTTCTGTTTGCCCGAAGGGAGGCTCTCGAGAAGCCGCGGTTGGCCCCGTCGCCACGCGCTGGCAGCGCAAGTGGCAGTCCCTGCGCCAGGGCCAGGGAGGCTCGTGGAAGGCTCCTGGGTACACATCCTGTCATGGTGGGTCCTGGTATGGTCCTGGGCCGGGATACTCTTAGCATGGTGGCCACCGCGAAGGCGAGGTCCCCATTCCGGGCTGCAAAAATAGCGAAACCGTGAGGACCTGCAGCGAGAAGCGTGTCAGTGGCAGTCGCGCGGCATTTCAAGCTGGGAGGCCGCAAGGGAAGAATATCCTCCACCCAGTAGAGGGATTCCCTGGCGGGGCATATGTGACGTTTGTGTAAGACCCTGCAGCGAAACGAGCATAGCCTCTTGACGGGCAATCGCCATAGAAAAAAGGAACACATCGCAAACAATTGCAATCATTAGTCTGCGTCGACGGATGTGGCTGAAGCTCCTGGCGACAATTACAAATGATAATCTGGCGAACGGAACAGGAGATGACACGCACGCGTAATGCCACTCACCTTACATACGCAGCAACACGCAAGCATCGCAAGCCTTGGGTATACGAGTGCCGCGGGTAGCAGATGCAACGCATCGGCAACCTCAGCAGCATTACACAGTGACGTTTTTTATACATGCTCCGCGTGCGGATCACGTATTAAAAATGCAGGGAATTATAATCAAAGGCAAGATGAGGTCATGCATTGAGTTATTAGTAACTTGACCAGGTATTAAACATCAGATGTATGACGCATCCTATGTATCAAACCCCGCCCTGCACTTAAATGGTTTTAACCGCACGTGTGCCACGCACGCCCAGATACAATACGGCTTCGTGAGGCCTCGCGAGCCGGCGAAGTGGTGGGGCGCCTTGGGCGAGAGCCCGCGACGACGGGGGCAAGGCGCGAGGAGGGGTGCGCACGGCAGGCAGCGCGCGCCGCGCGCGAAGCACGGCCTCTCTGCCGCCGCAGGAGAGCCCAGCATCGAGTCGGGAAGCCTCGGGCCGGGCGAAAGGGGGGGGATAGCGAAGTGAAAGGGAACTGGGACACACAAATAAATACACACAAACAAAACAATCCCCATATTTGTCCATGTTTTCTGGATTTCTGGGAATCGCCGATTAATTGTGTCTGTGTGTTTTCTCCCCTCCTGACAAAGGGTGGGTGAGGACTCAGCTCCCGTAGCCGATCTTCCCGCGCCGGGAGGCGGCCATGCATCGAGGAATGGGCCCCCCTCGGTGAGGCCGAAGCCAGCTGCATGCAGCAGATTTCGTACCCCCCCCCTGTCCCAATCCCCCCCTTTCGTCCGGCCCGAGAATCGAGTCGGCAAGTCGGATCGGCGATCGAAAGGAATCGCATCGGCGGAAATCGGCGGCCGAGCTGGGCAACACCGCATCGGCGGAAAAATCGGCAGGCCACAGTGGGCCTCCATGCCGAGGAAGCGGCAGCCACATCGGCATGCCCGAAGCCGACTCCAAGCGGACTCGGAGACCATCGAGCTCGAAGCGAATCGAGTCGGAGGAATGGAAAAAGGAGGAATGGAATGGAAAAAGAGGAGGAGGAGGAGGAATGGAGCGAATCGGAGGGATGGAAAAAGGAGGAATGGAGCGAATCGGAGGCGAAGGGGCGAATTCGAGTCGGAGGAATGGAGCGAAGCGAGTCGGAGGGATGGCAAAAGGAGCCCTGCAGCGCGCCGCGCAGAGCACGGCTCCTGCCGCCGCCTCTCCCCCCGCCTCGCCCGGCGCGGGGCCCGGCGGTGGAGGCGGGCGCCCCCGGGAGGAGGCGGCGCGGGGCGCCCCGGGCGGACGGCCTGCGGCCGCGGGCGGGGGCGGGCGGTCGGGGCGGCTCACCGCGGCGCGGCAGTCGGGCGCCCACCGCCGCCTGCTCGGCTGAAGTCGGGCGCGTCCCCCTACAAGGGGGATTTTCGACGAAAAACAAAACATACCCCCAAAATACCCCAACAAGGCTAACAAAAATACTCAAAAAATAGTCCCCAGACGATTTTTTGGATTACACTTGTTGACTACTGAAAAGGGGTATTTGTATTTCTCGTCGAAAAACCCCCCTGTAGGGGGACACCACGCCCGACTTAATGCTCGGCTGGCCAAGGAGGTCCGAAGGGGTGGCGCCGGGGAGGGGGGGCGGACAGAACAGACCAGGGACAAAAAATCAGCTTCGCTATGGTTTCCGTCTTCGGATTTCTTTCCTGCCTTCTCCCTGGGTTTTGCTGTCTTCGGGAGCGGCCAAGAGGGGGGTGTCCAAGAGGGGGTGGTGCAAATCATGACCGGCGGCATGTGCGCGGCCCAGCGGGGGGGCCAAGGACGTAATGAAACAAGAAGGGGCGCCATGAGATCTGGGGAGCCCCCGCCATGATATCCACCCCCCCCAGTCATCACCCCCCTCTTTTCCGCCCCCGATGTCTGGCTTTTTGTTTCTGTCTCCTGTCCTCCGTCTCCGGGAGGGGGTGGGGTCGCGGTGGGTGGCCTCCCTGCGCTCTCCTCTCTCGAGGGGCGCCCCGCAGCTCTGGGGGCCCTCCCCGAGGCCGGCACGGGCCGGAGCCCGGCGGCCAGGACCAAAGGGGGGGGGGGCGGGAGGAGGAGGAGGAGGAGAGGAGGAGGAGGAGGAGGAGGAGGAGGAGGAGGAGGAGGAGGAGGAGGAGAGGGGAGGAAGAGGAGGAGGAGGAGGAGGAGGAGGAGGAGGGAGGAGGAGGAGGAGGAGGAGGAGGAGGACGGAGGAGGAGGAGGAGGAGGAGGAGGAGGAGTAGGAGGAGGAGGAGGAGGAGGAGGAGGAGGAGGAGGGTGGAGGAGGAGGAGGAGGAGGAGGAGGAGGAGGAGGAGGAGGAGGGAGGAGGAGGAGGAGGAGGAGGAGGAGGAGGAGGAGGAGGAGGAGGAGGAGGTAGGAGGAGGAGGAAGGGGAGGAGGAGGAGGAGGAGGAGGAGGAGGAGGAGGAGGAGGAGGAGGAGGAGGAGGAGGAGGAGGAGGAGGAGGAGGAGGAGGAGGAGGAGGAGGAGGAGAGGGGCCAAAATTGGAGTCGAGCAGGGCTTCTGCTCGCCCGCGTGGCCCCCGCGCTGCCGCCCAGGCTTTCGGATTTGGCCCGCCTCAGGCTGTGCAGCGGGACGAGCAGCCTCCCCGCGTTGCCGGGCGCCAGGCGCGCCGGCAGGCCCAGCTCGCCCTGCAGCATGGCCAGCAGCGCGGGCCGGACCTGTGCCACGCCGCCCGCGCTGTGGGATCCCCGCCCAACCACGAGGACCAGGTCACCCTCGCCGCCTTCGAGGAGGGGGATCGACTGCAGAATCGAGAATCGGCGCAAAAGATGTGGAATGAAGGTCCCGTGGGTCTGCGGACAGTCTTTTTGTTTCGTAGCTTTGAAGAGAAGCTGCATTCGGGGGCGAATCCATTTTGCAGTCGATCCCCCACTCGACGCCTGGGGGTATCCTCAGGCATTCCTCGATCGCGGCGTGCGTGGCCAGCTTGGCCACCTCCACGGGCAGGCCGTGCAGGTCCAGGAGCAGCGCTCCCGAGCGCTCGTCGCGCTGGGGCCTCAGCAGCGCGCTGCCCCCCGCGGCGGACTGCGAGCGGAGGAGCCCCAGCGCCTCGACCGCCCGCTCGGCCTCGGCCCGAGTCAGGCAGGAAGGGCTACCGTCGAGACGCTGTCAGAAGGACCCCCACCTGAGAAACGAGGCCCATGTTTCCCGTAAAGCTCTACTTCGGCTTCCCGTCGAAAGCTGGAGGAACACCTAAGACAAGCTGCAACAGAATTAGGGAAGGCTGGGCCCCTCCCCACCGAAAATGGTGCCTTCTTCGGCGGCCCGACTGTGCAAACGATGGGGAACTTCTCCACTGACCACCATGCGGTGTTGTGTCTGGGGGCTCCAGCCGAATCTGGCTCCATTGCGGAGACCGACGCGCCCACGACCTCCCGAGAAATTCTGACTTTTCCTATGACCACCTCCGAGCCCTTCCCCCGTGCTCAGGCCCTCACGGAGGCCGCGCCGGGCCTTGCAGAGCGTCAGCAGCAGCACCCTGCCGCACTCGGCGTCTGTCTCCAGCTGGCTCTCGGACATCCTGGCGAAGGCCGCGAGGGCTTGCTCCCAGGCAGAGCCCTCCTTGCAGGCGGCCAGCGCGGCGCCGCAGCTGACGGCACTGGGCCGCAGCCAGGGCTCCTGTGGCATCCTGTCGAGCATGCTGCAGAACAGGAGCACCCCCTTCTGCCACTCGGAGCCGCTCTTCAGCCCACTGATGGTCGCGTTGTAAGTGACGGTGGTGGTGCTCAGGGCGGCGGCCTGCATGCTCGAGAGCAGCGCCACGCACTGCCTCCACTGGCCCGCGCGGTCGCACGCGGTAATCGCGGCGTTGCAGCAGACCGTGGTGGGCGTCAGCCGCTCCTCCCCCATGGCTGCCAGCAGGCCCAGGGCCGTCTGCCAGTCGCCCGCGCCGATGGTGGCGCCGTAGCAGAGCTCGTTGGGGCGGACCCCGCGCTCCCGCATGGAGGTCAGCACCCGGAGGGCCGCGCGGGCGGCCCGCCCCCGCTCGCAGGCGCTGATCGCGGCGGCGTAGCTCACCACGTCGGGCGCGAGGCCGGCGCACCTATGGGGCAAACAAGCCTACCTCGCTTTTGACCACCCTCGCTTCCAAGAGATACCAAGCGATGCCAAACTACGGCCTGCACTGGTCAGGCCGCTCGACGAGGAGGCGCGTGGTATGACTTGGTTTTGCCTGGAACCGAAAGCGGGGTAGGTAATTCACGCTCTGAGTGGCACCTGGCGGCGTCCAGCAGGGCCAGAGCCACGGGCCACAGCGGGCCCTGCCGGCAGGCGGCGACGGCAATGTTGTGGCTGATCAGGTCGGGAGCCACGCCGGCGCCCTGCATCTCGGAGAGCAGGGCCAGGACAGCGCTCCAGTGCTCGGCCCTCTCGCAGGCGCTCATGGTGGCGTTGTACACGGCGGCGTCCAGCAGCGTGCCGCGAGCCCGCGCCTCGCTGAGCAAGCTAACGGCCAGGGGCCACTGGTGCCCGCGACGGCATGCGTTGATCGCCGCGGTGCAGCACACCGCGTCAGGGTCGACGCGCCGCAGGGCCATGCTCCGCAGCAGCGCGGCCGCGTCCTGCCAGTGCTGGGCGCGACCGCAGGCGGACAGCGCAGCGGCGTAACACACGACGCCAGGGCGCAACTCCCTCGATACGGCCTCCGTCAGAAGGCCCAGTGCCCTCTCTGGCTGCGAGCCCCTGCCGCAGGCGTCGATCAGAGCGCCATAGCACCGGACGTCTGGCTCCACGAGCACACCCAGCATGCGGTCCAGGCAGCGCAGAGCGTAAGGCCAGCGCCTGCCCTTGCCGCACGCGCTCATGGCCGCGCAAAAGGCTGCCGCGCCTGCCGGGGCTCCTGAGGCCAGGAGCCCCAGCGCCGCCTCTGCGAGGCGGGGACTTGTCCACATCCACCGCCTGGGAAACGACGTCATGGTGGCCGAGCGGGCGGTGGATGCGGATACAAGTATATATATATATATATATATTCATATCTATATATACATATATATATATATATATATATTGACCCCCCGGGGCCCGAATATGTCGAGGTCCCCGAAAATGGGTCCTCCAGGCGGCGGTCGTGTAGCAATTCTCGCCTCGGAGCCTCCCACTCTGCTGCGCGCTCGCAGGCGGCCACCACCGCTGCGTGGCAGATGGCGTCGGGCGCCGGCATTCCCTCGTCGCCCCTCCGCATCCCGGCGAACAGCAGCGCAGCCGTCTGCCAGGCCTGCCGCGCGCCCAGCGCTGCGATCGCTGACGTGCAATCGCGGACGTCGCCCAGCAGCCCCTCGCGCCGGAGCGCCTCGCGAGACGAAGCCAGGACGAGGAGAACATTGGGTGAGGAGGAGAAATCGGGAAGCTCGGAGATCAGGCGGCTCTGGCGGATGCATCGGGCGCCGCGGCCCTCTCAAAGCGTGCCGGAACGCTCCGAGAGGGTTCCGGAAAGCTCTGGGCTGGATTCATCCTCGTGCTAGCTAGGGAGCCCACAAAGGACGTACGCGCCCAGCTATGTACATGAACACGGCCCCTCGATTCGCGAGACCGGCCGCGTTATACGAACATTTGTGCAATGCGTGCTCTCGAAAACAGCGTGGATTCATGTACATGTACGTCCTTCTTTCGCTCCTGACTAGCACCGTCCGACCTCGGCAGCCGAGGCGGCCGCACCGGAGGGCGACCCGCGATCCCGCAGCAGGGACAGCAGCTCACGCCGCCTCCGGTGCCCAGACTTGGCCACGCTGGCGCCGCCGCCGTCTTCGGGTGACGGCTGCGGCGGTCGCGGGGGCCGCAAGAACCGCGGCGGGCGTGCGCGGGACATCGGGGCACATCGCAGCTCTTGCTTGGCGGCGAGCCCGGGGGAGGTGAGGAGGGGCGGGCCTTCTCAGAAGGCTCAGAACATCTCCCGCCTTCTTTCCGGAACCTGCCCCAAAGACGCGGAAGACTTCGCAGGAGGCGCGAGGGCTTGTGAGAAGTCCCGCAGCCCTCTTAGAAGGCCTTCTCTTTCTCACTTCCCCCCCCGCTCGCCGCCGACTTGCGGGCACCTGAGTCACTTAGACAACTGAAGGGGTAAGACAAGGAGCAGGAAAGGGAAGCACCCCTCCTGCGTCTATACCTCTCTTTCCCGCGTCACACTCGGCCTCCCAATCTCCATGCCTCCATGCGTGAGGAATCGGAGGCTGGGGGTGAGACCAAAATGTAACAGAGTGCCCCCCCCAGGAAGTAGACTTCGGCCTCAGTTCATGGAGGCGATACTCCGCACGTTGAACGCACACTGGAACTCGTTGAATACCAAGCGCGCTGGGATGCATTACGGGCTACCCGCGGAAATCCCTCTGGGATGCGTTACGGGCTACCCGTGGAAACCCCAGACGACCCTTAGGCCAATATACGCTCTGCTGACGATGTGATTGTGCTAATAAATATCCAGGTTGTGCACACACTGTGCGTGAAAGGTGGGATCGATATTGCGAGGGCAATGGGGTTCGTAACAAGCACGCGACATAATGTGTGTCCTCCATGTTTCAATGTAGTATGTAGTGCTACGACAATCCACCGTGTGCGGCAGATCTGTGATGAAGGTATTCGCCAGAGTGCGTCGAGGCCCCTGTCCGCCTAGCAAACCAGTCTGTCATACCTGACACCACAGGCGGTCAAAAGGCTCTGCAGAGTGCGAGGGGATCCAAAGTGACCGCCTGCATCTCCGCGCAACACGCGCACACGTTCTCCTCTTCCTCCTCCTCATCATCCTCCCTCCCTCCCTCCCTCCCTGTCGTCTGCTCGTCCGAGCCGTCGAAAGCCCAACATAGAATGACTAGCCTGATGGGCATGAGAGCACTCGCACCTGCAGAATGGGCCGCGACCAGCGCTCCACAGGAACACCACCACAGTCACAACACATAGATCATGGTGCACGGGAGTGCACGCACGCTCATGCACATACATCGGCGGTGGACAAACCTCCCTTTAGTAAACCTCCCCTTAATGAAAACGACCTGGGACCGAAACCGACGGACTTGGACCCGCGAAATTTGACGGCCGCGACGCCCTCTCGCGAACCGAAAACGGCCAATTCCTTAATCGACGTGTCAGGGTAGGAGGTCAATCCACCTCCGAATACAACCACAAACATACCTACACGTAACATCGACTGTACTTGCCACCCTGCTCATGACCATGTGGACACCGTTGCAGACTGCCGGCAAGGGAATATGAATGTGCATGCGCACAGCCGTATCAATACTGCATGGATCGCACGATGACCCCAACCGCACCCGAGAGGGCTCCGAAAGAGCCTCCAGGGTCCGTGAGAAGGCTCCGAGAGACCCCAATAGGGCCCAACAGCGAGACCTCCGATTCTGCGGCGTGACTGTGAGATCTGCGTCCCTTGGGCGCCCACGGTAGCTCGAACAGTGCTGGCGCGATACAGCCGAACATATGATCAAGACAACCATGATTTAAAAACTCTGGGCCAGCTTCCCGGAAGGCTCTTGATACCAGCCTGGGCCAACGTCTGTAGTGAACGCTGGGGGGGCGGACGTGCCAACAACAACTGGGCCAGCTTGCTGGCAAATGGGTCAAGAAAACCTGGCCGAACTTGTCGGGAGGAGGTTCGCTAATCAAATGCTCGACCGTCGCGCAACAAGGCCTCTCCTCGGCGGACTGTGTCCCGCGACCCACGTGACCGTGCGGCTGCCCCCGCTCCCCCTTCTGTCGGATGCATGGACGCATGCCGACAGAATCCGGCACCTTTACCGCAAGTGTGGGCCCTCCAAGTAAACACTACAGGTCTTCAATGTCTCCCAATCGTGGGCAACAGCACATGATTTCGGGAACCAATTGCAGGTTGTCGGCACCGAACAGCATCGGCACAATAAATCTGTCGCCGCCGCCGCCGTCGCTGTCATCGTCGCCCCGCGTAAAATCCTTGACACCGAGGGTGGGCCCGAACAAGTGATAGTCAGTGTTTCCTGCTCCTTATCCTTCTCCTGCCCCCGCCTCTGCACATTGTTCTTCTCCTCCTCACGTGTCAGTGGAGATTCAAGCTGCCCCTGCGCTCTGCCCTATGGTGCCGCAGGAGGGACCATAATCGAATCAGTAAGTCGGATCGGCGATCAAAATGAACCGGATCGGCGGGAATCGGCAGCCGAGCCGGGGGAAGTCGAATCGGTAAACACTGGCAGTCTAGTAGGGCTCAATTGAGAAATCGGATCCCGAATCGGAATCCGAAGCCGAATCGGAACCCATCGAAATCAAATCGAACCGAGTCGGAAGAACCGAACTGAGCATTGATGAGGCGGTAGCTCCCCCAAACTCTCTCGCGCGACTCTGGGCGACCAGTGGCGGCCGGGAGAGGACGCCCCTGCGGTCGCCCCATGAGACAGTCTGGGGCCACTCGGAGCCGCCGTGTGCTGAGCAACAGGCACGGCCTGCTTTGGTGCCCTGGCATGCCGCAGCTGCTGCACAGCAAGCGCCCAACACCCGAGCAGACACACTCCAGGCGGGGAACGCCGCTGAGATCAAGAGGTGGCCAAACCTTTCAAGACAGGAACAGGAAGCGCCGTCTTTGTGGTTGCGGAGCTCGCGGGGCGTATGTTGAGGACAGCGTGCAGGACGTCGAGCACAGCGGGAAAGAGCAGGATGATCATGAGGTGGATGGTAAGATCATGAGGTGGCGTAAGAGAGTTGAGAAGACGAACGCCGGGCAGACGGAATGATCAGAAGAAGGAAAATGTGCAGCATGAGGAGGACGATGATGATGACGATGAGGGCCACAAAGACGACGACGACGATTACGATGACGACGATGACAATGACGACGGCGATGACGATGACGACGACATGGGAGGCACCGGATGTTTGCTGACGACGCTGGCGCCCTCTGTTCTCCCCAACGTTTGTGCCTTCCCTGCGTGATGATGGTGACGATGTGTTGATCATGGTATGACGTCTTCGTCGTCGTCGTCGTCGTTCGTCGTTCGTCGTTCGTCGTTGGTCGTTGGTCGTTGGTCGTTGGTCGTTCGGCGCTGGTCGTTCGTCGTCGTCGTCGCACGTGGGCCGCGGTTGCCCGAGAGAGCCCCAAGACGGTCCCAGGGCGCTCGAAGACGGCACAAGAGGCCCCTCGAAGAACCCCAAGAACGGCGATATTATTTCGATACCCACCCTGAAATAACACAGGCCTCGTGGGGGCCGTGTTCGAGTCTCTTGGGGCATCTTTTGGGCCTCTCGGGGGCAACTAGGGGCCTCTTGGGGGCCTCTTTTGGGCCTCTGGGGGCCTCCGGGGGGCCTCTTGGGGCGGAAGGCTTGAATTGTCGGTTCGTGGTCTCCCTCTTGGGCCCTTCTTGGGGCCGTCTTGGGGCCCTCTTGGGCCGTCTTGGGGCCATCCTGGGAGCTTCTTAGGCCATCTTTGGGCAGCCTTGGGGGCCTGTTGGGCCCTCTTGGGACGGCGAAAACTCGAAAAGGCGAGAACCCCCAACACAGCAAAAACACATATGCAATAACCACTAATTGTTGCTTCGCGGGGCCCCCTTGGCAGGGCTCTTGGTTCTCCCTGGGGCATATGGGAAGCTTCTCGGGCTGTCTTGGATCGCTTTTGGACCTTCTTGGAGCCCTCTTGGGCCTCTCTTGGGTCGTCTGGGGGGAGCTTGGGGGGATCTTACGCCATCTTGGAGGCTTCTTGGGGCCGTCTTGGGCCCGAAACCCGGAACCTGATCGGACAAGAACGGGAGGCGCCGCTTTAGTCTAATAGGCGTATTGGGCGAAGAAGAGAAGGAAGGTGAGGGCAACGAGGAGTCGATGAAGAGGACGACGTGGCGAACGTGAGGGTAGCGAGGAGGAGCATGAGGACAACGAGGAGGAAGAGAATCACAAGGACGAGGACGAAGAGACCGAGGGCGAGTACGAGGAGGAATGCGGAGGGCGATGACGACGACGACGACGACGACGACGACGACGACGACGACGACGACACAGGACAATCAGAGGCAATTGGAAAAACGTTGCTCCTGGCGCCGTGCGGGGTTGTCTTGGGCCTGTTGGGGGCTTCTTGGGGGCCCCTTGGGTCCTCTTATGGGCTTCTGGGGTCTTCTTGGGTTGTCTGGGCGCGTCGTGGGGTTATGTGGGAGCTTTCTTAAGCTGTCTCGGCGCAATCTTGGGCCGTCTTTCGGCTTTCTTGGGCCGTTGGGGGGCCTCCTGGGGCGCTCCCGGGAGTCTCCTGGGGCCTTCTTGGACCTTCTCGGGCCGTCTTGGGGTTTTTGTGAGCTGTCTGGGTGGCTGCTAGAGCGCTCTTGCAGGTCTCTTGGGGTCTTCTTGGGGCGCTCTGGGGCGCTCCTTGGGCTCTTCAGTGCGTCTTTTGGGCCTCACTAGGGCAGTTGGAAGGCCCTCCATGAGCGATTCGAACACGACGTCGATTTAGAGCCCCCTCTTGGGCCGATGTTTGGAGGATGTCTCGAGCGAAACGGCAATGTTTTCAAAAACCTGATCGGACAAGAACGGGACGCGCTGCTTTAGTCTAATGGGCGTATTGGGCCAAGAAGAAAAGGAAGGCGAGGGCAAGGAGGAGTCGTTGACGAGGACGACATGGCGAACGTGAGGGTAGCGAGGAGAAGCATGAGGAAAACGAGGAGGAAGAGAAGCACAAGGACGAGGACGAAAAGAACGAGGGCGAGTACAAGGAGGAATGCGGAGGGCGATGACGTGTTCGGCCGCGCAAGTCTTGGATGACCGAAAGACCGGCTCAGACTACTGGTACAAAGCGCGGCCCCTCCGAAGGCGGGCGGCTGCTCACGCCGGCCAGGAGGTGGCTGCCGACCCAGACCCCCG